CACGGATTGGTCCTTCATGATTCCATGGCCAAAGTATGAGTGAAAAGACTCACCATGCTCACTTCTAAGAAGCATTCTGGTTGTACTTCTACCAAGACAGATTTGCTTAAATGCCTATTCCTGCTTAATTCTCTATAGCTAAGTGAATCATTTCATCTTCCACATTTCACTAACATTCTATAACTCTGTAAAGACTATAGGTTTTGGAGACAGATCTTGCGTCAATTATTTATCACCCCAAACAGAAATTCTGAACCTAGTAAGTAATGAGTCCCCATTCTCCTACTACAGAAAGTCCAATCTACTTTCTGTCTCTGTGAACTTGCTTCTGGTGTGGTGCTATAGGATAAGCACTGGACCCAAACGTCATTTGAATCGCAAGGTTGGCAGTTCAAACTCACCAGCTAGCTGCTCCTCAGAAACCCTCTACAGGGTCTCTATGAGTCGGAACTAATTCAGTGCCACTTAAAAATAACAACAGGTATTTCATATAAGTAGAATCATACAATATTTGTTCTTTTGTGTCTGCCTTATTTCACTCAGCACAATGTTTTCTGGGTTCATCTATGTTATAGCATGTATCAGGAACCTCATTCCTTCTTGTGTTTCTGTATTGTGCTGTCAGGTGCCATCACGTCGGAACCGACTCATAGCGACCCCATGCACAGCAGAACGAAACAATGTCCAATCCTGGGTCAACCTCACTACCGCTGCCACACTTGAGTCCATCAATGATGCCACCTGGCTGATCCATCTCGTTGGGGGTCTTCCTCTTCTTCTCTGACCCACCATCTTACCCAGCATGACATCCTTCTCCAGCGACTGTTCCCTCAGGACAATATATCCAAAGTACGAGAGACAGAGCTTAGCCATCCTGGCCTCCAAGGAGCACTCTGGCTGCACTTCTTCCAAAACAGTTCTATTGGTTCTTTTGGCAGTCCATGGCACTTTTGGTATTCTCCTCCAACACCACAACTCAAAGGCATCAATTCTTTACGATCTTCCTTATTCACTGTCCAGCTTTCGCATCCATATGAGGTTATTGAAAATACCATGGCTTGGGTCAGGCGCACCTTAGTCCTCAAGCTGACATCTCTGCTCTTCAATACTTTAAAAAGTTCCTGTGCAGCAGATTTGCCCAGTGCAATATATCGAATGATCTCTTGACTACTGCTTCCACGAATGTTGATAGTTGATCCAAGAAGAATGAAGTCCTTGACAACTTCAATCTTTTCTCCGTTGATAAGAATGTTGTTTATTGGTCCAGTGGTGAGGATTTTTGTTTTCCTAACATTGAGATGTAACTCATACCGAAGGCTGTGCTCTTTGATCTTCATCAGTAAATGTTTCAAGTCCTCTTCACTTTCAGCAAGCAAGGTTGTATCATCTGCATAGCGCAGGTTGTTAATGTCTTCCTCCATTCCTGATGCCAAGTTTTTCTTCATAGAACCCAGCTTCTCGTATCTATTGTATGATATACCACATGCTGTTTACCCATTTAGTTTCCATTTGGCTACTATGAATAATACTGTAATGAACAATGATGTGTAAGTATCTATTTGAGTTCCTGATTCCAATTTTTCTGGATATATACCTAAGAGTGAGTGGATGTTTAACTTTTTGAGGAATCAAACTATTTTCCACAACAGTTACGCCACTTTATATTGCCAGCAGCAATGCACAAGGACATATAGCCTTCCTAAACTTCAATTTCCTCATTTGCAAAATGGGAATAATACTACTTACTTCATAGGGTTATTATGAAGATCAAATAAAACACATAAGCAATGGGCACACAAGACCCCTCAATGTTTCCTTTCCTAACTTCAATCTTTTTTATAGTAATGTTTACATGTCTATTTTCCCTATTACATTCTGAATTGATTAAAGATAGCACTATATCTTGGTCATTGTCATTAGCTGCCATCAAGTCAGGCCCAGACTCGTGACAACCCTATGTACAATGGAATGAAACACTGCCCCTATCTGCACCATTCTCACGGTGAGTAGTAGATTAAACCAAAGGATTTTCATTGACTGATTTTTAGAAGCAGGCCAACCCAGACCTTTCTTCTTCGTCTGTTTAAATCTGGAAGCCTCACAGAAACCTGTTCAGCATCAAAGCAACATACAAGGCTCCAATGGCAGACTGGTGGTGGTTGCACATGAGGCACACTAACTAGGAATCTAACTGGGGTCTCCTGCATGATGATGTTATGTGCCGTCAAGACATTTCCAACTCATAGCGACCATGTATAGGTTTCCTAAGAGTGGCTGGTAAAATTGAACAATCAACCTTGTAGTAAGCAGTCCAGTGTTTATCCTACAGTGCCATACCAGATCTTCAGGGTCTCTTGCATAGAATGTAGGAATTCTACCACTGAACCATTACAATCCCTAAAAAGACATACAAAGGCTCTGCATAGAAAAAAGCATATAGGCGCCTGCTACAAAATCAATCACACCTTAACACATGTTGTTGTTTCTAAGTGCCATGGAGTCAGTTCCAAATCATAACAACCCTGTACAGAGTTTGAGTGGCTGGTGAGTTTGAAGTGTAGTCCACTGTTTATCCTACAGTGCCACAACAGGACTCCTTACCAGGTTGTTGTTGTTATGTGCTGTGGAGTCAGTTCTGACTCACAGGGACCCTGTACACGGTTTCTGAGGCTGTAAATCTTTACAGGAGAAGAAAACCTCATCTTTCTCTTGCAGAACAGCTGGCAGTTTCAAACTGCTGACCGTAAGATTAGCAGCCCAATTCACAACCACTACGCCACCAGAGCTCCTTTTCCTTATCAAATATTTGATAATGAACAATAAAATATTTAGGATTAATTTTAAAATGTAAGCGCTATAATTAGTAACAGTCTCATTATTCTAATTTAAAATCTAATTTGCTAAGTAGAAATACTGATTGAACTACTAGCCTTGATTCACTTTGTTATAATCACTTACTCTTAAATGTTAGGAAGAATTATACATGAAAGAATGAAAAACTCGAGTCACTGTTCATCCAGTTCACAATAAAGTTGAAAAAGAGGGAGGGGGGAATGGATTTTAAGAAAACTGTTCTGGAACTGAATGGATAACTCACTGACATTATACTGAGTGAAAGAAGTCACACATAGAACTCTAGAACATACAAAATTAATCTATGGTGACTGAAATCATGAGTACTGATTGCGGCAGAATACAAGACAGAGGAGCAAAAAGAACATTCTGGGGAGAAGAAAATAGTCTACATCATGTTTAGGGTATATATAATTAATAAAAGTTATCAACTTTTAATTTATTATTTAAATCTATAAATTTTATATATCAATTATATCTTCATTTAAATAAGAATGCCATATAGAGCCAATTTCTTTACTAGAAGATAAATAAGAAGCAAAGAAGTACCAAATAAGCTCAATTCTTCATCTATGCTATTATATAGTTAAGGAGTCCTGATGGTGCTGTGAGGTAAGTACTAGACTGCTAACCACAAGGTTGTTGTTTCATACTCACCAGTCACTTCTCGGGAGCAAGATGAGCTTATCTACTCTCGTGAAAGAGCTAGTCTTAGAAATCCTATTTAGGGTCATTTTGAGTCAGAATTAACTGGATGGCAGTGGGTTTGGGTGTTTCTTTCTTTCTTTTGGTTTATCATATAATTAAGGAGCCCTAGTAGCACAACAAGTTAAGTATTAGGCTACATTTAGGCTAACTGTACGTCAGTGGTTTGAAACCATCAGCTACTCTACAGGAGAAAGATAAAGCTGTCTCCTCCCTTAAAGATTCTGTCTTAGAAACCTACTTTGTCTGCTCCCTTAAAAAGACTTACAGTCTTGGAAAATCCTATGGAAGCAGTTCTTCTCTGTCCTATAGGGTTGCAATGAGTCAAAGTAGACTTTATAGCAATGGAATATACATTAGGAAACTGTAAGAAAAGCTATTTTTCTGCCACAGTAGAAGAAAATTGTGAGATTAGCTGATGTGAAAAGATCTTCATTGTAAGAACCACAAAAGAAAAAAAAAAGACTAAAACATTAGGTAAGCATACATTTGGGGCTGTAGCTGCTGTAAAATGTGAGTTTCACAGAAAAACAATCTTTAGGCTATTCAAGTAGATTTTCTTATTAGATGGTGCTATCTAATACTAACAATGGATACTATCATTTAACAGCAACTGTTTGCCACACCCTGAAGAAATAATCAAAAGAGTATTCCCATGAAGAATAACTACTACACTATCTCAGAAGTTAGCTAAGAAATCAGAAAACGACTTTGCTAATAAAAATTTCTAAGAAATCGATGACAGTTTAATATGAATTTTTAGAGATCTTCATGTAACCAATAATTCTGTCACATCAATATTGTTGTTGTTATTAAGCGCTGTTGAATCATTTCCAACTTATATGCAGTTTCAGTATAGGGTTTCCAAGGAGTAGCTGGTGAGTTTGAAGTGCCATACCAAGACTACTACAACAATATAAGTTGTCTGAAAATATTAATTTAGAGCAGCTTTTGAAAAAAATATTTTAGATGATCTATTATGCACAGTCCTAGTGTGGAGCTGCGGATAATACACTGGTCCACAAGGTCCATTTGAACCTCAAGGTTGGCAGTTCTAACTCACCAGTTGCTCCACAGAAACCCTATACGGTCATTGAGTGGCAAATGACTTGACAGCACTTTAAAAGAACAACATTATGCACTGTAGGATAAGCACTGGACTTTTAGCCACAAGGTTGGAGGTTCAAATCTACCTTGCAAACCCCAAACCGGGTCATATGAATCAGAACCAAATTAGCAACACTTAATAACATTATGCTTTTAAAATTATCAGTGGAGCTTCTTTTTTAAGCATTCCTTTTAATAACCTTATAAATTATCATACATTGCAGATACACTGTTGTGGCAAGTAACTAAAAAGGCAAAGGTGCCAAACTCACAACTCAATCAAAAACAAAATTTATATTTTCAACAATTCAAGAGAAAAAATACAGTTCCCTTACCTCGTCATCATCATCAGAATCATTCCCAAACACTGACGGTTTTTGCAAAACACGGTGCAACTGCTGTGTTTTCTTTGGCAAAATAAGCCCATACCTGCATTATTTTTTGGTTTTGAAATAGAAATCAGAGCATTATCTTTAAATGTTAAAAAGTACATTCGCTACGTCTTCCAGATGAAGCTACCAAGTCAAAACATGTTATAGTTATGAACATATAACAAGCTGTTTCTGATATTCTATGATCTCAACATTTTAATAAGCCATAATTTATTGTAATTATTACTTTTACTGATTGTGGACATGGGCCTTGCTCAAATACCAGTTTTACCCAGAGAACTGCAGACTTCAGAGATGTTTTACATGACGAAGTGTCGCTTTAAAGAGAGCATGGTAAGTGGAAAGCTCAGTTCATATCCACTGAAAACAAAAGCGCTCTTAATTATTCTTGGGATCTAAGAAGAGTTAAGAAAGTAGCTAGGTGAGATCACCCCACCCCCAGTGGGTACTTTTAAAGACGTTATTGGATTAATGTAACCCACACGAAGTAATTGGGGAACCCATGATACTGTTTTACAAATATGTTCCTTGACTTGAAAACAGATGACATAAACTGAGAAACCCAAGCAGCCAAGGGGGTCTGTTCCCATTACACTTTTAAGCCTTCTTGTTTTGTCTCGGAGCATCTGAGAGAACCATCCTTAGGTAACTCATTTAGTGTTTGATGTTTTGACCTTAAAACTCTGACATCACCGGAAGCCGCTCCAAATAGTTAAGGATTGCACATCAAAAATACAGTCTCCAAGTAGGTTCCGTATTTGTCTCTTTTGCGGCAACGTATATCTCAACCCTTTTCTGTGACTTCTCAGCACAACATTCCTAAATGCCTACCCTTTTCTGTGACTTCTCAGCACAACATTCCTAAAACGAGAAGGGAGGGCGGGAATCAGGACTTGAGCTTCTGCCATGGAGAACAAGGCCCTCTAAGGAAGCCAGGAATGGTCTCTCTTCTCATTGCTCCTGAGAGCATCCAACCGGGGAGAAACTCAAGCGCGGGGTAGGAAGCAAGACTGAGGGGCCTCAGACCGAGCTTTTGGAAAATAGAAAAGTCTCGCTCTCTGCCCCTCAGCCTAACTTCCTTTATTTCCTCACAAGTTTCTCCCTTAAACTTCGGGCTTCCAACCTGAAAAATGTATGGGGGAGGGGAATACATGTTCCTCAGGATTTCTTGTTTTATCCCGTTTCTAGCCCTGACGACAAAACCCCTTCACTTTCAGTACACTTTTACTCCTCGGACAATGACATAGTCGCTGTGGTCTCGTTCCCCAGCCTGACCCTAACTCCCGGATCACTCACTGCCTGCCCGGAATCGCCATCTTGCTCCCGGCTCCGTTGAACGTGGCCGACGCAAACGTAACACTGACGCAGAGGCAGACGCAGGCGTCTCCTCGTAAACTCTCGCGCGGCTTTGGGTTGCTGGAAGCAGCTCTGTGTTTGGGTCTTTTATTTGAGTCGCATTCACACTTCTGGGAGCCTGGATTTGTGGCCTTCAGGTTTGTTTCGAAGCTGACCAGCTGCCTCTATATCAAGAGAGAAGTGGAATAATAAGATGACATAATTTTAGGCCAGTTACTTGCAAAGTGTAGTCCGGGAAGCATCAGCATCAGGATCGCCTAGGAATTAGCGTTGTTAGGTGCAATTTGAGTCGGTTCTGACTCATAACCACCATGTGTAAGGTTTCCAAGGCTGTGAATCTTTATGGAAACAGAAATCATCTCTTTGATGGAGAGGCTGGTAGGTGGTGGCTTGAATTGCTAATCTTGTTGTTATAAATTAGTTTACCCTACAGCGCCACCAACGCGCCCTGAGAATTAATGTTGTTGTTAAGACCCATGGCGACCCCTTCCCCCAAACCGGAGTCCTAGTGTGGTGCTGTGGGCTAATGCGTCAGACTGCAAAGTCGTTTGAACTGCAAGGTCGGTGGTTCAAACTCACCAGCGGCTCCTTGGAAACCAGAATCGACTCGACGGTACTTAACAACCACAACGCCCAAACCGCATCTAAATCGGAAACTGGGGTGGGAACCAATTAGTTTTAATCAAGCTCTCCAGTTGACTCTGATGCTCATTCAAATCTAAAAACCAGTACCCTGGGTTGTTAATTTCCCACCCCTCCTTTTCTGTGAGTATTCCTGGATCAGAGTAATTAGGCAAAGCATGGTTATACACAGTGAAAGTCTTAAACCTGGAACTTGTTGTGCAAGACAGAAAACCTATCAGAGAAGTAACACTCAAATGTTTTCCACTAATAGTTACAGAAAAGTAGTAAGACTGCACTCTTTCAGAGTTGAAAAACTAGGCAGTCCTGTTGAGTTCCACCTCCCACAAGATTATTTTCAATAACCTCATATGTATGCAAAAGCTGAACAGTGAATAAGGAAGACGGTAGAAGAATTAATGCTTTTGAGTTATGGTGTTGGAGAATATTGAAAGTGCCATGGGCTGCCAAAAGAACCAACAGATCTGTGTTGGAAGTAGTGCAGCCAGAGTGCTCCTTGGAGGCCAGGATGGCCAAACTTCATCTCTCATACTCTGGACATATTGTCAGGAGGGACCAGTCGCTGGAGAAGGATATCATGCTTGATAAGGTGGTTGGTGGTGGTTTTGTGCCGTGGAATTGGTTCCGACTCATAGCAACCCTGTACAGGGTTTCCAAGGCTGTATATCTTTATGGGAGCAGAAAGCCTCATCTTTCTCCCACGGAACAGCTGGTAGTTTCGAACTGCTGACCTTAAGGTTTGCAGCGCAATTCGTAACCACTACGCTACTTATAGGATATACATACGTGTTTAAATCACAGAGAATGAGTTAACTCCTCCTGTTCCTTACTCTCCTAGAAGTTGTGTTGTGGTTAAGTACCACTGAGTCAGTTATGACTCATAGCGACACTGTGTATGGTTTTCAAGGACAGCTGGTGAGTTTGAACTGCTGACCCTGTGGTTAGTAGTCCAGTGCTTACCTATAGTGCCACAACAGGACTCCTAGAATCTAATCCCATCAATTACCCCATGTAACATCTACAGGAACTGTAGATGTACTGTTGCATCTATTTAATTATCTTGAGCAAAATTTTACTTGCATATGATATTGACATTGTTTGATGAATCCCTCACTTCATGAGTCACTTCTCTTTGGAATGGGCACAAATATGGGTCTTGTTTTTTTTATCCAATGTGGCAATCTTTTCCTTTCAATTAGTGTGGTTATTGATCATTTTCATTTAATGTGATTATTGATAGACCCCTATTTGTTTTCTATTTCTCCCTTTTTCGTCTGTTTGGGTTGCCTTGGTTTTTGTTTTTTGATTGAGAAAGTTTCCACTTAACTCTCTTTGTTGGTTTATTAGTCACATCCCTTTGCTATTTTTTTTTAAAAAAGATAAGTTTTAAGGTTTATAGTATATATCTTTAAGTTGTCACAGTCCACTTTCAAGTAAGAATATACCACTTCATGTATTCTATAAAAAACCTTACAAAAGTATACTTCTACTCCCCACCCCACCCACAAAACAAAAACCAGAGGGAATAGAAGCAAATATTGTTAAATGATGATGCACGGAGGGGATTATAATCATTGCAATAGAACGATGCGTGTAAAACTGATGTTCTCCCATGTAGACTATCACTCAATTCACAATAAAAACTTTTTTTAAAAAAGAATATACTCCTACTTCCCCTCTCTCATTCATTGTGTTAACATTGTCACACATTTTACTTAGTGGCTTAGTGGGTTGTGAGTTGAACTGCTAACCCCAAGGTAAGCAGTTCAAATCTACCAGCATCTTCTTGGGAGAAAGAAGAGACTTTCTGCTCCTGTAAAGAGTTACAGCCTTGGAAACCTTATACTTTTCATGAATGAATTGCTATGAGTTGGGACTGACTCCACGGCATACAACCACCACCACGTTATAAATGCACAATAAATTATATTGCTTTAAACAATCAATTTCCATTAAAATTTTTAAATAAAAAATAGATTTACCCATATAATGACCATTTCTGATGTTTTCATTTGGTATCTTTTTAAAGTAACAATTTTATTAAAATATAATTCATATACCATGTAATTCAATTCACCCATTTAATGTATACAATTGAATGGCTTTTACTATATTCAGAAAGCTGTGGAACCATCACCACAATAAATCTTAGAACACTTTCAACATTCCAAAAAGAAACTATCTACCCATTAGTCACTATCCATCTCCCCCTAAATCCAATATATGTGGGCAACAACTAATATAGTTTCTGCCTTTATGGATTTTTAGTTCAGCAATTTTGCTTCAAATATTTTGAAAGTTCATTATTAGGTGCATAAATGTTTAAGATTGTTATGTCTTCTTAATTAACCGACTCCTTTTTCATTATGAAATGACCTTCCTTATCTTGGTAATAGTCTTTGCTCTGAAATCTACATTGTCTAATATTATTATAGTCACTCTAGTTTTCTCTTCACATTTATTCAAGAAAAAGCAACAAAGAATTACAGGAAAGTAATTGTAAATTGTTAAGTGCATTGGAGTTGGTTCTGATTCATAGCGATCCTGTATAAAGGTTTCCAAGGAGCAGCTAGTGGGTTTGAATTGCCAATCTTGTGATGCTTATTCTACAGCGCCACACCAGGACATGGCAAAGCCATAAATAGCATATATAATCATGATAATGTAAATACTGAATATTGATCTATTCTATCCTAAATTACAATGTAAATTATATTAGGAAGATGTGTGTATGTTGAGGAAGGAGGAAGGAAAGAGTTAATTCTTTGCATTCCTTATTGGGAGGTTAATAGCTAATTACCTAAACAAGGAAAAGAAGAAGAAGAAGAAGAAAATAGTAGCCATACAAACATGTCACTTAGGAATATGAAGGCAAATGCAAAAACTGCAACTAAAATGTTATCAAGTGCTGTTGAGTCGGTTCTAGTTCATAGTGTCCCAGTTTCCAAGGAGCGGCTGGTGGATTTGAATCATCAACCATTCAGTTAACATTCCAGTGTTTATGCTACAGCACCACACCAGGACTCCACAGCTAAAACATAGGTGACTAAACTGTTTCTGTAAACAGAGAGTAAGTATTTTAGGTTTTGTGGGCAATATGGGCTCTGTGGGGACTACTCAACTTTGCCCTTGTGGTGTGTAAACAGTAATAGATAACATGGGTTTGGCTGTTCCAATAAAACTTTATTTACCATAACAGGCAGTTGCCTTGCTGTTTACCAACCCCTGAGCAAAGAGAATTGAAAATGGTTAGCTCAGAAGCAAGGAAGAATGGAAGTAAGGGAGGCTGAAAAGAGCTCTGGTCTTAATAGACATCATATAACAGGATGAATCTTTAAACTATGGGCATGTGTTGCTTTGGAGTCCTGATGTGGCGCTACAGGATAAGTACTGGACTACTAGTCACAAGGTCAACAGTTCAAACCCACCAGCCATTCCTCACTTGTCTACCTCCTGGTTGAAGCAACTTGAATGGGTAATTGTGTTGTTGTTGATGTGTGCCATCAAGTCGGTTCCGACTCATAGTAACCCTGTATAGGGTTTCCAAGGAGTGGCTGGTGAGCTTGAAATGCTGACATTGTGGTTCAAACCGATTTTACAGTCCAGTGCATTAGCCCACAGCACCACACCAGGACTCCAAATGGGCAATTAGACAAACAAAATTACTCAGTGTCGAGCTCAAAATTCTATATATTGTGAGTCTTTGAATTGGCTTATTAAAATTCTGTATTCTCTCATTATCTCTGGGACTTTGTAATGAAACTATCAAGGATTTTCTTAAAGCTTGAAGGATGAGTTCTCCAACTCAGTGTTCTAGAGTTCTTTACTCACCTGGGTCTGCAGCAAATCTGGGTAACAGAGAAACCTCCTAAAATGTTGGCATCTAAGTTTGAAATTTTTAGTTGAAGATGCTCTGGGGACAGGAGGTTGTTGTTGTTGTTAAGAGCCATCAAGTTGTTTCCGAGTCATAGTGACCCTGTACAGAGTTTCTGAGGAGTGGCTGGTGAGCTTGAACCACACTGACCTTGTGATTCAAACTGACCTTGCAGTCCAGCACACTAATCCACAGCGCCACACCAGGACAGAAGATAAGATGGTTCTGCCTTCCATCTCATCTATTCTACTCCTTTGCCCTTTCAGAGTACTGTCTATTTCTGATATTCTGTTATTGATCGTTTGGACCTCTTTCTATAGGTTTTGAATTGTTTCCAGTGCTGTATCTATCTTATTTGATTGTTCCTGTA